ACGAATCGCGTTGTACTGTTTTTACAACGTTCAGGTTGACGCAGTGCACGAGACCTCCGCCCTCGTTTCAGGTGAAATCTTGTCTTCATGCACTTTCACACGAAATGAAAGTCTCCCTGACAATCGCCAATCAACGATTTCAAGCCGGCTCTTTGGCGGCCTACATTCAGGTGCACAAGTCCAGTACAATTCTGACAATCCATCGTAGAATAAAGAAATATATCCGAGAGGTATTTATCCTATTTAGTTTGGGGAGATAAAGAGATTGGTAGTTGCATTTTCCTAAAATCACATTGTTGAATTTCACACAGTCTTGCTTTACCAAAATGGCATTCTGATGGAGGGTGGATCGCCGTTTTACACTGGCTTGTCATGGTTCGAGTCCCACTGGGGCGAGGTAGAAACCTTTTAGGAAGACAAGGTCATGTAAAATTCAGTGGGAGCATAATCTCTGCTTAACAGATTGTGGGAAAATTCAACTACCAATCCTTCATTAACTAAAACGAAATAGAGTGAATACATCTCCTATATTTGATTTACTGTTAGTTTGGAAACTTTAATTATAAAAAACGAAAAATACAAAATTAGTGTTGGTCCTTGTCCGAGTAATCACGATACTTTCCAACATCCGACAGTTGACTTGGTACAGTCCCAGACGTTTCGCAGTCGGCATTGCCATTGAGAGGCGCCAGCCGTTGGACCGATTTACAACTTGTCAAAGTGACAAATGAAGACAATCTCTTCTACCACTTTTCTGTCAAACCAATATAGCATCTCCATTGTGGCTAATTCACCTATCAACTCCTCTCCTTCATTCATCACTTTGACGAGTTATGAATCGGTGCTAAAGCTGGCGTCCCTCAATGACGATGTCGGCTAGGACGCTGGCGAAACGTCTGCGAATGTAGCACGACTAATCGGGCAGAGAACATAGGACTAAGTTTCCACGAGAAAATGGCCAAAAATCATCAAACCAACACTACCCGGCTAAAGAAGATTACGAACAAACTTAAGGTTATACCAACGCAAAGCGATCAAGTTGAATAAAAGGAAGATTTCCATTTAATTCGGACTCTAACATTCCGGTTGCTATGCGTACAGGTAGGATTGCAATCAAGAATGCTAATTCAACCAGTTTGCCTGTATCATGAGTGGGCCAGCTTTAATGTCAAGAGTCTGGTCTGTAAGGCAGCTGGGCCGACGGAACTCAAAGTGACGACCAGCTTTCGTGTCCACTTCACTCAACGTCTACTCATGTTGGCGTCAAAAAGAAATGGTGAAGAACGGAATAGGCCCTTAGAACCCGTTAAACAGGTTGAAGCTGCCAATAAGGGACCAAATTAACTGGTCACATTTAAGGTCAAGTGAAGCTTGTTGAAGAAGTGGAAGATTTGGGA